GATAGTAAACTTGGCGTCCTACTTGCCTTCCCCGGCAACGGCGCCATTTTGTTTGTAGTATTTTTGGGCATGTGGTAACCGAGTTACCCGACTCGGGTCGTTCTCAAAGGAAGGCTCTTCGGAGCTTCGTTCACTATCTAGTCGTCAATTCACACAACCGAAAATAAGGTCCTAAACATTCTACTCGCTTGATTGTGGGTTGATTACACTAAATTATTCTAATAATTTAAAAGCAATTAATGAAAAAGCAAGAATCGAAAGAAATGTCGAACTTTGGTTGCACGGAGTCTCCACACTTGACGAAAATAAAAACAACAAAAAGAAAACATGCGAGCCTAGTGATCCTAGGTATCCGAACACGAGCCTTCTACACTAGATCATCCCGCTTCGAGAAAGTCGGGACCTCTATACTAGATAAGCACGTATCGAATCCTAACACACGTAAACAAGCAATGAAAATAAGACAAAGTCTAAAAACGATTCTAAACACATCATTCCAATCAAATCACAAATCGAAATAATAAGCCCTAAGCTAGGTACCTATTTTCCTATAGCAAAATTAAACGAAAATAATGCGTAGAGAATGAAATTTAGATAAAAAGAAAGTTGCCGGAAAAGTTACCGGAAAACTCGCCGGAAAACTCGCCGGAAAATGTCAAGGTGGACCTCCAACCAAGGAACCAAAAATATAGAGAGAAGAGAGAAGGGAGAGAATTTCCCCAACTAAGAAGTTGGGAAAATGAGGGGATTGTTCCAAAATACACACACAAAGGTCTATTTATACATACCACACAAACACACACTAAAAACACACACATTTAATGAAATTCTGAAGTTCGCAGGTCTCGAAACAGGGTTCGCAGCGAGTTTAGGCATGGAATAGTGTAGCTGGGCGCTTTCGCGGGTCGCCAGTGGACATTCGCAGCGAGTCCAAGGATTTGGAGCTGGGGCATGCGTTTCGCGGGACGCGAATTGTGACTCGCAGCGAGTTCGCATGAATGGCAAGTGTTGGGCGTGGTGTTTCGCAGGCCGCGAATGTCTGTTCGCAGCGAGTTCGATGCTTCCTCCCTCACAATGCCACTTCGCGGGGCGCGAATCTCGGTTGGCTGCGAGTGCAATGATCATGGCACTACTAAATTTCTTCAATCGGGTGACCCAATCGATAATCTCTCTCTCGAAAACTCATATTGCTCGATCAAAATGGCTCGACTAACTCGTGTCGGAACGGCTCGACATCAAAATCATGGATAGTGGCTCAGAAATGGCTTGGACAATAACTCGGAAAATGGTTGGTTTCCCCAAACATGTATAATGGACCTACAAAACACACCAAAAGAGACGCGAAAATACGACAAAATACAAAAACACATAACGAGAACAAAAACACATAAACACGATAAAATGGACCGGTTGACACAAAACCGAACCTAAAAACGCAAAACTAAAACACATAAATCACACGAAAATAAGCACAAAAACACAATAAACAGAGGACAAGTTATGCAGTTACACAATTTTCTCCCTCGTTCTTTTCTGTCTGCTACTCTTTCTATTTCTCCCTCCTAATTCTATCTCTCCTTCCCCCATTTCTGAAATTCTGGTTCTAATTCAGAACAATCCATACATAATTTTCCTAATTAAAGCTACAATTAAGTAAGCCCATAACAGTTAGCTGGTGTTGTTCTGGGGCTGGGATCTCGACACGGTTAGGCAACCGAGTGGTTTTAGCAGTTTCGGGGTTGTAGTCTCTGGCTGTGGGATTAACAGCTGACTTGGTTCCGTTGGTTCGGCTAGGTGTTGCCTCTTTGGAAGGGATCGTTTAATTTGTTTGTTTTTGTTTTGTTGGTAGCTTAGTGGTTTTTGCGTGTTGTTTATTTTGGTCTTGTTTTTTAGGTTTGGGCCGTTTGGTCCCTGTACTGGGTACTGATTCCCCTGTGGGGGGCGTTTCTATTCTCCTGTGGGGAGCGTTCGTAGTTGGTGTGTTGGTGTTTTCTTTTTAGTTGTGTGTTATTTGTTTCTTTTCTAGTGTGGCTAGCGAGGTTCTAGGCGGTTTCGATCCGTCCTCTCATTTTCTAGTTTCTGGTTGTAATATTCAGCCACGGGCTGCTTTTGCACAGTTGTGCGTTTTTTTATTTATAATATCTCTATCGTTTCGGAAAAAAAAAAAAAAAAATTAACTCCCATTTTCTATAAATTCAACCAAAACAAAAATATTTTTATATCCAATCACCAGCAGTAGCTCCTTAAATTGCATTAAAAAAATGTTTTATCATTACTAAACAAAAATTAGCGAGATAGGCGATACCATGATAAAGTAGAATCAAGAATCCGATACGGCGATACCTTTCATGAATTGATCAAACCCGCCCTTAATTAATAATTAATAGACGGCCGAAAACAGGCAAAGATAAGAAAGTAGTCCAAAGGAGCAAAGCCAGTGTTGTGAGATGAAGATGGAGATTTTTCCACGTTTTCCAATCAGCAAAGGTATAATGATAACTAGTTTTTGTCCCGTGCATTTGCACGGAAAATTATATAATACATGAAAAAATAATAAAAATTATAAACAATAGTAAAAAATCATATCAAAATCATTGGAAAAAATTAAGAAAAAAATATAAATATTCTTAAACACTTCTTTATAAAACAACGTCGTGGTTTTTCTATCGTCAAAATCTCTCTCAGCTCAAATCAAAATCTTCAAATCCCACTGACTCGTAACTCTAAAAAGCGTCACGTATAATTGCTCATGACTAAATGCTGAGCTCTTCAGTAGTAAGCCGACGTGCGACAGAGACTATCTTTGACTCTTACTGATCATGTCATAGCATAGGAAACACTTCTTTATATTATTTGTCCTTGACTCTTATTGATTGATAGAGATTGTCCTTGCTTCTTAATAAAAAAAATACCATCTAAATATAAATGAGTAAATATAATATTAATTTTTTATATAAAAAAAATTAAAGATCTGTAATAGATCTGTAAATATATGTATTTTTTTGAGTTTTTTTTTTTAAAAAAAAACTCGTATCATGAGCTTTCCATTAGGGTTAGCTTCCAATGGACTGGAACCGCCCGCATCGTGATTTTAAGAGGCCGATTAAGGCCCTTTTGTTATATTTAATCACAGTCAGAATTTTTTTTTACGTATGTTATATTTTTTTTTCGTGGATTCAAGTTATTTCAACGATGTTCTTTTTATATATCTAAGATTTTTTTTTTTCCTGATTTATATGAATATAAGCACATTTAACTAATTTTTATAAAATTTATTGAAAAAAGTTACTATTTTTTTTAAAAACTGATAAGATATTACGATAATATTGTACTTAACATAAATGTGGGATTAATTAAAATAAATCTTTTTAATTTAGTCATTAACTAATTAAATTTAACTATAAGAAACCTTTTTAAATGTGAGATTAATGAGTAATTAATTAAAAAAGTGTAACTCCTTTTGGAGGGAAAGTGAAAATATTTTTATTAAATGTTTTATTAAATGCTATTAGCTAGCAATTATATATATATAGATTCTAATACTATTACTCCTCCTATCTTTCGTAATAATTTCAGACGCCAGAGGCGGTGGACATGGCGGCGGAGGCGGGCACGGCGGCGGTCTCCGAAGTGGCGGCGGCGGCGGCGGCGGCGTACATCATCCTCGGAAAAATGATGCGGCCACCGTTTCATTTACATGGTTGTTCTTTTTAGTGTCCAATCTCGTCTATCTATGCTTGTTTCAGTTGCATTTTTTTTGTTAAAAAAATAAGGTAATATGAGATGGGACATTTTACAGTTCAAGTGCAAAGACATGTATTTGCTTTCCTTTTTTTTTTTTAGAATATATTCATTGCTCTTCATCGATGATCATTATACTGTGTTCCTACGAGGTCCGAATACAGCTTCTCATAATTTTTATTAATTACTTGGTTGTTATTTTTCCCCTTTTCTTTCAAATTGGTTTCATCACAGATTTCGGGCCATCCAATAAATCCACCTCTCATTTTTAATAAGTGTCGTTTTGAGAAATTGCACAATATCAATAATAACCCTCATTAATGAAGATAGAAATGGATCTTTTGAAAAAAGATGGAGAGTGAATGAAAAGACATAGTGTAATTATTAGCTAAGTGAGGGTAATAATAGAAATATATATAGAAAAGATCCAAAACGTCATTTATTTGATTAATGATTGATAAAAGTTAAAATGACATTTAAAAAAATAAGAGGTAGTACTAGATTGTCTATCGCCATTGCACGCACAAGCATGCTCATTTTAGTCTCTAATTTATTTTATTATTATTATTATTATTAAATTTAAGAAAATTTTATTTGATTTTAAAATAGAAAATATTGCATAGTATTGTATAAATTTATAAATTATTTAATTATTTTGAAAAAGAGCACTGAATTTTACCATATATTCGGTAAATGAAATATCTGGATCCAAATTGGTTTCATTTTGTTATATATTTTTTAAAAAATAGCATAAAGTAGTCATTTTTTAAATGTGTCATTGTTTTGTTTGTAATGGTGTAATTTTAAACCACGGTGTTGTTGGGATGAGCCTTGTTGTTGGTTGTTGTGATTTGCTTACCACTGCAGGACTATTAAAATAGTTAGTTGTAGCAACTGAAAACCTTTGGGGTGCTCTCGTCGCCGCAGGTCATGAATTCCCATGTAAAGGAAAAAGAACCTCATCCATGTAAGAAGGTACTCTGGTGATAACAGAGCTCGAACCGTGTAAAATAGAGAGCTAAAATAATAATAATAAAAAAAACATACCATTTTCAGATTGTGGGTCAGTGTATGGTTCGTAATAGCTCGAGATTTCATTGAACCTGCAAAAATAAAAAAATTGACACAAAAGGAATCATTCGCATAAAAATGGAAAGAAAAAGAGAAAAAGGTAAACGAGGTGAAGACGACCTGGAGGTCGGGTCGACAATGCCAATATCGGAAGGTCCGAGCTGCACACACGATAGAGATTATTGAAGATGCCACGTAGGCCATATTCAAAGGCCGACTCCTTAACGATCGAAGGACGAGGTCGACCTCCCGAAGCACAGAACCCAAAAGAACCTCGAAGGTCAGAAGCTGAAGACAATCAAGTGGAGGTGAAAGTCCGACCTGAAGGTTCAACTTGTTCGGGCTCTGGCACGCATAAAGGACCTGAAAATAATAAAATATTGTCACTTGTCGAGTGATGATTGTTGATGGGACGTGCCACTCTAATCTGCCACCCTAGCACACTTAGATCAGAAGGGCGGCCACTCAGCATTAAATGTTCCACATGTGTGCATTTAATGTCTGACAAGTAATCATTGAAAAAACTTCATACCACATTTAATGCCCGACAGAACGGCGTTGGACCCGTCAATCTAAAGTGACAAGGTGAACGGTGGATGAATAGTACCAGACTAAAGTTACTATAAATAGGAATTCACCCTCATTTATTAGGGGGTTGTTGAAATCTCTACGAACATTCTCTCTATTTACATTTACTCTGTAAATAAATACTACCTCATGTTCTTTTTAAATGTCATTTTGGTTTTATCAACCATTAACCAAATAAATGTCGTTTTGGGTTTTTTGTACATTTTTTTCATTATTATCCTCATTTAACTAATAAATACACTACGTCTTTTCATATTTACTCTCCATCTATTCTCAAAACATTCATCTCTATCTTCTTTAATGAAGGTTATTATTGACGGAAAAAATATTCTTAATTATTGTGCAACTTCTCAAAACGACACTTATTATGAATAGGGGGAGTACATGTGATTACTCCACTGTAACCAAAAGGCCGACCTCAAACCCAACGGCCGATCTCATAATTAAAACAATAAAACTAATTTCCTTCGTAATTCCTTTCTTATTCTCACATTTATCTATTCTAAACTTTTACTAAACTTCAATTTAACCGTTGACCGATTCTGATCATCAATAGTGAATTAAAGTTGAAATTAAATACTATTTAAAATATAATGATTAATGTTACAATGAATTATTTTGAATAAAGTAGATTGAATAGATGATTTTGAATTTGAAATTAAATATTATTTAAAATATAATGATTAAAGTTGATGTAATCTATAAGTAAAAGAAAGATTATTGGAAATGATATGCATTTAAAATTATGTAATTTGATGAATAGTGAATTATAATTGATTATTTTACAAAAAAATAAAATAGTTGAGTTCAGTTGAATTTTAACTATGGTGATTAGATATAAAATTACTCAGCCGATTATAATCGATTAAATTAGATGATAATTCATATCAAATCGACTCCTAATAAATCACTAATGATTATTTTGCTCTATCAATAAATCACAACTTAATTAAAAGATTTTTGGTTCTGTAATATCTATCGAAAGAAACAATTAAAAAGATTTTTTTCTTCTTCCAATGCCGTTAACAAATGTTAGTAGCTATTTTAGCTCTAAAAAGTCCAGTGAAAAACCACGAAACAAAGGTTTCGTTCAAGATTGTGTGTCCTTTCTAATCGGTTTTCCACTTAACGGCCGCACCAATACCCATTTTTGCCAGCACTCGATTTTTTATTTCGTCAGAGTACCGAATTTCATTCACTCATCCGCCCAATCTGAACTCGATCACTGCCGCTGTCGGCCCACCGCCGCCAGTTTCCGCCGTGAGGTATTTCTATCTCTTCGTTTCTTTCTTGCTTCCTCTTCAACAGCGTAAAAGGGTGGAATTTGATGCTTCATTAGTTGTTTCTGCAAGTGGCCATTTTTTTTTTGTTCAATTGCGCCTTTTTTCTCCATATTAATTTCCCTCAATTTCTATATTTTTTTCCTATGGCCAAGTGATTGAAAAATTTTGCCGAGTTTGCTTGTGTGTTCGAATGAGACGGTAGAGAAATTCATTATCATTTTTAAAGGGCGTATACGATGAATAAGATAATGTTCTTAAGATACACATAGTTTTGCCTAGGGGTGTGCAAAATTTGACTGAAATCGACCGAACCGACCGAAACCGACCGAACTGACCAATTCGGTTCGGTTTTTATTCGACTCGGTCGGTAGTCGGTTTTCAGTCCCCAATCGTTCGGTTAATTCGATCGGTTTCGGTTTCGGACTTCAAATGTCCGAAATAACCGAACCGACCGAATATATATATATATNCTTCTCCGGTTCAAGTAGCTGCGTCTGCGACTCCTCCTTGTCGCCGGTAGTCGATTCGTCGGTCGAGGGCGCTGAGCTTGGAGGTTTCAGCCGGGCACACAGTTCACCGTCAAGGGCGAAAGTCTTTTACCAAATTTTCGTCCCTCCAAAAAATCTCAGTTCCATCTCAAATCAAGGTGAAGTCTTTTTTTGTTTTATTTTCTAATTCCAAACTTGTAGTGAAGATAATGTATGTTTGTGAATTGTGAGATGTATATGTTGACTGATTCTGTTAATCATGTATGTTTGTGAGATTTATTTTCTGATTCGTTGGGAGAATATAATTCTTAGTTCTGAATTTTGATTTGGATAGTTAGCACAGAATCTTGAGATTTGTACAAGCTGGAATGGGGGTTTTACACTATTTGTTCAGTCTATACTCTGTATCCATTGTTTTTTTTATTTGTAGTAAACAATCCTAAAAAGATTGTTTTTGTTAAAGTTCGGTTAACCGACCGAACCGACCGAATAATTCGGTTCGGTTATGTTTCGGTTTTAAGCACATCGGTCGGTCGGTTCGGTTTTTGACATATAGCAATTCGGTTAATTCGGTTTTTGTATTTCGGTTCGGTCGGTCGACCGAACCGACCGATGAACACCCCTAGTTTTGCCTATGGAAAGAGAAGAAGATACATTTAAGTGAACCAAATTGTTTTACTTATACCTTCTAAGTTTTAAAATTATCAAGTCTCTTGCTTTTAGCATATAAATTCGAGCCTTAGTCTTAAGCAAGCATATTATGCACTTGTTTTTGTGTTTTTGCGCTTCAGTCCAGCAGTCCACTTAACATACCAACAGTTCTGATTCTTCTGAAGAGCTCATCTTTGTTTTCTTGAGAGAATGAGGTTTTCCACATTACAGTAGGTTTTATTCTTGGGTTTTTGCGTAGGTTGTGGTGACAGTAATGAACTTTCGCTAACTTTATCATTCAGTGATACAAAGCTGCCAGGCTTACATGACTTAGTGAAGAATGTAATGATCTTCAGCGTTCTTACTTTGTTCTGAACTTATGTTTTGGGATGAGTTTTCCTCTGTTTGCTGCTTTAGCTTTCTTTGTGCCTTAACATTTTGCTTGTACTTGATTTATTATACATTGATTTACCACCTACTTCTTGTTTAAGCAATTCACACAATCGTTGACCTCTTGCCCATGCTTTAGAATACAGTTAAATAACATGTCAACCATTTTCTTTTCCGAGTGGAATCCCCTTGTATATGAAAGAGTGGAAAAACTGACTGTCGTAGGGCATAATAGACGATAACCTAGTCAAGCACGCTGGAGGTTGTGAAACCTTACAGGCACCATAGGGCCTTCTCAAATAGGGAAAATCATCAATAGCATTAAACTGGCTAATTCCTTGATTATTGATTCTTCTTGCTCAATACTGTCATTTGTATTTTCTAAATATCTTTTTAGCGCAACTATCTGCAATAGTGTAGGATTTATTTGGCTTCTAGATAGGTCAAAGTTGCGTTCTCTCCTAATTAGTTGTAATCTTCAGTATGAATCTACTACTTTGGTTATTTTTTTAATGGTTCACTTATAGCCACCAAAATATTATTGGAAGGTTATCTTCTGAATCTCAACCTGTGAAGAAGGAAAAGAATCCATTAGATCTTGCGATCAACTGTTTGCGTTTTAGTGACTTTACTGGTTGTGACTGCTTTATATTTTTTCCAGCATCTAAAATGTTTACAGTCGGTATAAAAATGCTTTGTTCCTAGTGTTTTTAAAATAGTTGCCACCTTCGGTTGTTTATGTGCCAGAGAGAGCAGTATCTTTCCCAATGTAGTTTCAACCCAAGATCGTTACATATCATGTTCAGTTTTCATGGTTGTTTCTGCAGATTGATTATATAGACTTTGTATCATCCACTCTAACGAGCATGAAGATTGCAAGCTGTGCTGGCCTCGCCAAACCCACTTTCCTGCTCGCTCATTACGAGTTACCCTCTTTCTCTCTCCACCGACCGCAATTCATCTCCATCACCTCTCTATACACTCCCCGCAAACTCAAGAACCGATGTGAAATGGTGATGAGGATCCATTCCTCCATTGCCGGGAGAAACCGTTCGCCCCGCCCCAAGCAAGACAGGTTCAAACGGGAACAAGAAAAAGTCAACCCCGCCTCCTTGTACACCCACCCCACCTTACTAGAGATGAAAAACGAGAGAATCGCAAACCGGGCCCGTGTCTACGAATTCCTAAAGGGCATCGGCATAATCCCCGACGAGCTCGACGGGCTGGAGCTTCCAGTCACCGCTGATGTCATGAAAGAACGCGTACATTTCCTCCACAAGCTCGGCCTCACGATCGAGGACATCAACAATTACCCTCTCGTCCTCGGCTGCAGCGTGAAAAAGAACATGGTCCCCGTGCTCGACTACCTCGGAAAATTGGGCGTTCGAAAATCGACTTTCACCGAGTTCTTGCGCAGGTACCCTCAGGTCCTGCATGCGAGTGTGGTCGTCGATTTGGAACCGGTCGTGAAGTATCTGCTGGGCATGGACGTTAAGCCTGAGAATATTCCTCGGGTTTTGGAGAAGTATCCGGAAGTTTTGGGGTTTAAGCTCGAGGGCACAATGAGTACCTCGGTGGCTTATTTGGTCGGGATAGGGGTGGCCAGGCGTGAGATTGGAGGGATTCTGACTAGGTACCCTGAAATACTGGGCATGAGGGTTGCTCGTGTTCTAAAACCTTTTGTCGAGTATTTGGGCAGTTTGGGAATACCAGAATTGGCTGTGGCTAGGCTGATTGAGAAGCGGCCCCACATTTTGGGTTTTGGGCTTGACGAGAGGGTCAGACCGAATGTGAGTCTTCTTTTGGAGTATCACGTCAGGCGAAGTTCGATTTCTGGCGTGATTGCTCAGTATCCCGAGATTATGGGGATTGACCTGGCAAAGAAGCTTCAGAGTCAACGGGGCTTTTTCACCTCTGTTATAGAGCTGAGCCCGGAAGATTTCGGGAGGGTTATTGAGAAAATGCCACAGGTTGTTAGCCTGAGTGACCGAGCAGTAGTGAGGCATGTGGATTTTCTGAAGGGGTGCAAATTTTCATCTGATCAGGTGAGGAAGATGGTCTTGGGGTGCCCGCAGGTGCTGGCATTGAATCTGGACATTATGAGGCTCAGTTTCGAATACTTTGCATCTGAAATGGGTCGGCCGTTGGATGATCTGGTGAGTTTTCCGGCTTACTTTACTTACGGACTTGAGTCTACGGTTAAGCCGAGGAACAAGATTATTGCGCGCAAGGGGGTGAAGTGTTCCCTGTCGTGGCTTCTCAACTGCTCGGACGAGAAGTTTGAGGAGCGTATGGATTATGATTCGATCGACGTGGAGGAGATGGAGGTTGATTCTTCCTCGTTCGACATGAGTAGTTTGATGAAGCCCAATGATGAAGAGTCGGATACTGAATATGAGGATGATAGTGAGGACGATCAATATTCTTAACATTTTTTTTTTTTTTTGGTCTGGATGACGGCGGTGAAATATGTTCCGCAACCAACCAGAGAATGACCTTTCTCCTTCTGTGAAGGTGTGTGTATTCCGTATGGTTTTTTATTTAAGAGTGTAGATAATACTCCAATACTTTTAATCAAGCACTTGGGAGGAAATTGATAACCTTTGTTTCGAAGCAAAATGGTAACTAGGATTTTCAACTTTCAAATGGTGACCAATTT